TTTTTTCTTCTTTTCTCTCATGTAAGGTGAGATTAGCAGTCAGGTTAAGCTGACTGCTGTCACAGCTCATTTAAACAATAAAATCAACCTTTAAGGAATTACTACTTTGATATGAAAGAAAACATGCTGATAGGGTTGGTCAGGAAGGTTTTCAGAGAAAGAAATCAGGTGCTTGAAGGTCTGGCTGTGAGGTTTTCCAGTAGTACAGCACTTGTCACAGCTCAAATTCTGGTCTCAGCCTCTTTGCCTTAAAGGTTTGAGTGTTGCAGTGACAACGGTTGTGCAGTAACAGAAGGATGGGCAAGGGTATCTTCTGGCTCCTCAGTTCTAGTTCCTCATTAAAGTGACAATGTGATATATTTTCAGGAGGGTTGCACTTCAGGTCATTTCACAGACTCTACCACGATCAGATTTGTGGGGGGAAAAGGGTTATGTTGTGAGGTGTGGAAAAACATCCATATTTTATTGTCTTAAAGTGTAAGTGGTGTGTTGAAGAACTGGGAATACATACACAAAATTTATTTTCTGAGGCACTCATAAAAGAATAGACCGCAATGTAAATATCCTTTCTGTACTAATACTTCATAAAGTTCACTTACATGCTTGTTGAGAGTTTAAATTGTGTGTGTAAACATTTGTTTATCTTTAGGAAAGAGTTGACTGAGGCACAGAGAACGAACAAACCCTGTGGGAAGTGCCACTACTATCTTCTTATCAGCAAGACCTTTACAGAAGCCACGAAGAGCAATTCTAAGAGGAGGGAAGGGAGAAATCAGCAAAAAGAGGAATTAATGTTTGCAAATGCAGAGGAGGAATTCTTTTATGAGGTACCCTATGCGAATGTTTTCATGTAAAATGTTCGTTTTTCTTTACACAGCGGCAATAAAGGTGTTTGACCTTAAATTCAAGGGGAGCTTTTAAAAAGATATGGTCATCTTTTAAATTAACCTTAGGTTTTTCTTAGAGTCGTATTGAGGAGTGAGCAAGCAACCTGTTTTTGTGTCTTGAACACACCACCTTTTGTATTTAGAGAATCGTGGAGAAGTGTGCCATCCATAAATCCAAATTATTAAATTAATCCTCTGTCTTGGCATGAATTTGCTAATAAGTTATTTGTATCAGGTCGCAATTAAGCTGCCTATAAGACGGTGTGGTGTACACTGGCAGTGTTACTGCCTGAGAGGGTCTGCAGGGCTGTGAGGATAATGGAAAAATTCAAAGAATACCTGAAATAAGCAGACTTTAAGGGAAAGATCAAGTGTTAACTTTGTCTTGGCCCTGAAGAATTAACAAACTTCATCTCTTTACTCACACAGCAGTGCTGAAGAGATTAAATTGAGTGTGATAATTGTCAGACTTGTTGAAATACTGTGAGTGGAATGACCACGATTTTAGGAGGAACAAATGGTAATAAATCTGGATATTGAACTTAGCAGCATGTCCCAGGCTTTCTGAGTTTACAAAAGTTTGAAATTCTTTTTGTTTGGGGAACAGTGCAGTTGTCTTCTTGAATCTGAATGGTAAGAAATGTGAAAGACTTGTTAAAGTGCTGTGTCAGCTGCACAGAGAAGAGTGTGGGGGTGTGAAGTGCAGGTTTGCTCCAATATCTGCCAGTGAGACTCAGGCTAACACGATTCACATCACAAGTGGTGTTTAAGAGTGACAGCTCAAATAAGTGGTAGTAGCTTGCAAGAGTGCTCTAACTTAATCATGTGTCACAGCTTTAAACACTTAGAAGAATAAAAATTCAAAAAAATGCAGAGGAGTCTCTTGTAAGAGTCTGGATCAGCATCTGCGTTGCACGTTGATACCTAAATACACAGATCTCTTTCTCTTGTCCCTGCGTAGTCCTGTGTCAGGAAAAACAGCTGTTGAGGCTTTCTTTAGGTATGGTAATGCAGTTAAATGCATTTCTCTGAGATCTCTTCCCAAGAAATTTAACAAATGCAAAGCTCTGCATTTGTGGTGGTGTTGGTATTATGGGGAAAGCTGATTTATCAGTTTCCTTTAGGACACCTGTTACTTTAGAAAAATGCTCAGAATAAAAGACTTTTGAAGATCCAGACAAGTAGCTGTTGCTTCCCTTTTCTTTCTCTTCTTTCCCTTTTCTGTCTCTGTTTTACTCAGGACAAGTACATTCATAATAAGTGCTAAAATACTGATATGAAAAGATTACTTCCTATTCCCTAGAGCAACCTGTCTACACAATTCTGCTTGTCCCAGGCCAAATCAGGAGAGGAGAAGATGCAGGAAATGGAATCAAAAATATACTTTGAAATTCAAATAATTTTTTTCCTTGTTCTTTATTTATTCCAAAGCTTTAAAATACTGTTCTATGATATTACTGCTTTGCCAAGAGCCCAGTACTTCTCCTTTCTGGCAGTGCCTACAGGATATAAAGCACTTGCACATGCATCATGGTTAACAGCAAAGGTTCCTGTGTGTAATCATGCATGACATCCTCTGTTAAGAGGCTGTGATATGGCTGTAATTGTATTTCTTGGGAAGAAGAAAAATGTCAGTGGGTGAATTAATTGTTAGTTGTAGGGAATACGGTTGTAGCCTCTGTGCAGTATCAGGCTTCAGGTTTTCTTTTCGTGTGTCTGCCACAGCAGCTTTACCAGCTGAACTTGAACTCTGTATAAACGTGTTCTTGAAAAACTGAAGGGGAGCAGCCTATGGTGCCCATGTAGCCACAGGTGTTATGTTCCAGAAGGCCTATTTTGTATTTATCTCTGTTTTGTTATTTTGAATGGTATTTTAAAGACCAATTCTGTGCTTTTATCTAAATTGCAATAATTCTCAACTCAGGTGGACAGACTCAAAGTGAACATGCTTTTCTTTTTAACTGTCTTTCTAGTGTTTTTAACAAATTCATTTTAAATATCATGGAGCATACCAGATTAAATGTGTCTCTGTACTTAATAATGTATATGTGTTTAAATTAGTGTTGGAGCGTATAGCCTCCCTGATCATCCATAATGGTAATTAGATTGCCATCAAATAGTATTAAATGTGGTGAGGCAGACACTTAGAGCCATATAAAACAGAGAGAAGCCTTTTTGCACCTGTCAGTTCCCTGTGCTTTATGCTGTTCCTTAAAATGTTATTGAGGGAGCAGAAGGAAAGCTGTATTATAACCAGGCTGGGAATTGATTAAAGGTTTAGGGCCTCCATTGCTCACATTGTTTGTTCTTGAGCAAAGCCACTCAGTTATTTTGATGGTTCTTCCAAAATTAAATTTACAGCCTTGAGATACTGTTAGGAAATAGCAGTCTTGCAAGGAGACTGGATCTTAACTTTCCCTGCAGAGGGAAGAGGTAAGTTTTTCTCCTTGGTAGTTCAGCTCATACTTAATCTGACTTATGTGAGAACTGGAAACTGTTGTTAGGTAAGTTTTTCTTATCCATCAGGCATTGTGTCTGGGAAAGCTGCTGAAAAAGGACTGTTCTATCTGTCTGCAGTATCACTGAAAAGAAATAATGCACTTTATGGACACCTACCTATTTGGAGAAGCATCCTTCATAAACGTGTCTTTCAGTGGCTCCAGCCATCTAGAGGCTTTCCAAGAGCTTTTTGAAATTCTGCTCAGGAGTCGTATTAGTGCCTGTCTCCTTAATATTTAATTTTGACTGGCAGTGTGAAAGAGGGAATTACTGTACCACATTTCCTACAGATATGTGAATTTTTAGGTCTCTGAGCAATTCAGAGTAGGCCACAAAAAGAGCAGAGCCAGTTCATTGCTCCAGGCCTTCCACATGTTGCCCACTCCAAGCTGTCATCTTTAATGCAGGCTCTATTCTACCTGCACCCTCTTGCTGTCCCTTTTATCTGGGTTGTGGCAGGTCTGCTAATTCTCACAATTACACAGCTCTTGGTTTGCTCTTATTCCAGAGTGAAAGGTCTGTTAGAGCCTGATACTCTTCTTGTTGGCCAAGGATTCCTGCTACTTGGCGCAGTAGCTTCTGAGGGTCACATTTCTTCATGTGATAATATGGAATAAGATGCTGTCTTAAAGCCATCTAAGATGAGTAAGAATATAAAGGCATCGATTTAGTTTTTTTCTCTTAGGTATTTTTTCTGATAATCACACTATAATGATAGCAATCATTTTAGAGTTTAGTATGAATCATATAAATTCTGTGAGAAATAACTAGTTTAAAACACTTAATAGTAGATTTTTTGTAGGTGTTTTGGTGGACCTTCTGAGAGGGAAGAAAATAATGAATTCTTAATAAGCATGTGCATAATAGGATCATTATTTTTACTTTGTTTACCTGATGTTCTATCTCCATGCTAATTAAAAAATATTAATCCTAATGCTTTTATTTCTGTTATTTAGAAGGCCCTTCTGAAGTTCAGCTACTCTGTGCAAGAGGAAAGCGACACCTGTTTGGGTGGCAGATGGTCCTTTGATGATGTTCCAATGAAACCCTTGCGGACTGTTCTGGTAGTTCCAGCTGATGCAATTAATGTAATTATGGAGAAACTCAAAGACTATCTCTCACTCTGAACTTTCCTATAAACACCATTTTTTTATAGAGCAGCTGTGCAGAACTAAAACTTCACAAGATTTTCGGAAGACTGCGGTTGAGTTAATGGTTTTGTACTGCTCAAATGTTTCCTCTGTACACGTAGAAGACAAGTAGGTGGTACCACTGAAAAGAGCCATCAAATTAATATTTTTAAATATTGTATCTTCTCATGCTTTGGTGTCATCGTTAAGTGGTCAATAAAAACCCACTGTTACAAGAAAACTTGAAGGTCTACTCAGTATGTTTTTAACCAACATATATAATACATATATAATTCATATATTTTTGTAACAAAACAATGCATGCAACCCCTTTTTTTAAGAAAAGTGTTTTTTGTATGTGTTTCTTCAGTTACATACGTTTATATCTAAAGTCCAAAATAATTACATGGGTTAAGATGGGAACATATATCGCACAAACTGGTTTTATTTATATTTGCCCAATATATGGTAGTCCAGCCTAAAGTCACTGAATAATACATCTTTGTTCAGTGGGAGTTTGGGGAAATGTTTCATTTTCCTTCTTGTCAGTGTTAGTTTTCTGTTCCTCCTGCGTGGTTGAAACAGGTGACAAGTGATTGATCGCTTCCTGCAGAATATCCTTGCTTTCACTGGGAGGAAGATTGCTAAAGTAATACTGAGGTACCAGCTCCACGAATCTGGTGAGGAAGTGAGACAAAACATGATTATTTTTTGAATTGGCCTTTGAAATGTTTGATTTCCAGGCTTGTACAAAAGACACCAGCTACGTGCTGGTGCATACAGCTACAAAGGTGGTATTTCAACTCAAAACCAAAACTCTCTGCAAGATGGAGTAGCAGTTTGTGCTTTGAGTAGACTTACACGTCAGGTGATCGTTGTTCAGTTCTCCATGCAGCAGATTGCATTAAATAGCAATTTTTCTGGATTTGGACATGTGGTTCAATAAAAGTATGAAAATTACTTTCGTATAAATAGAAAAGATGGGACAGTGAAATGTGTATTCTCAGTGTAAAGAGATTTTTGCAGAAGGAAGACAGTGAAATGTATATTCTCAGTGTAAAGAGATTTTTGCAGAAGGAAAACTCTGTAGTCTTTTCTTGAATCCATACAGGATTGATACGAGGTGATTTAACTGGTTGGGTACATAAAACATGTCGAGAAAAAGATTTCCTGGAAAATAGCTTTTCAGGAAACATGCATTTCCTAGATAACTAGATAAATCTATGAGCACACTGTGCTAACTCTTCCTTGATTTTTTTCCTGTATATTTTACCTTTTTAGAAACTTCTGCTGTCTGTAAGTTGTTTTTCCAGTGTATAACTGATTACAGTTACAGTGTCAGACATGGAGTGCTCAGTACCTGAAGAGATCAGCACACGAAAGGCTGCCTTAAATGGTGTTTTGTTTTGCATAAAAAGAGTAGTAAGGGCATGAGATCCCATTTCTTCTCCCTTTTCGTAGTTCTGGCCTCTAATGCAATGAGTGTTCTGAATGAAAATGAAGACATCAAGCAAAGCTACACACAGTGACAGAACAGTGCTGGCAACAAAGAAATAAAACGTAATCCACATATATTCTCTAGCGAATATAAAAGGAGTGAAAAACAACCATTTCTTCACCCTTCCAGTGATGGCAGTTCCTCTTGCGTGGCTGGGTATGAAGATTGTCCTTTTCTCTTAAGCCTGCTTTACTGAATTTTTCAATTATTTTTTGTAAACCAGCATCCCTGGGTAGAGTGAATCAGTTATGCTTGGAATATTTTCTCAGCAGAACCAGAAGATCCTTGTTTTTATGGCAGAGATAAAGGAAATTGAGATGATGACCGGAGTTGACTTCTCCAAGCGTTGCTCTCCACGTGCACACGCATCCTCACCCTGCCTGTGAGTTAAGTTAAAGCTTTTGTGGTAGAGGTAAGAGTGAAGAAAGAAACATTTATCAGTGTTAACTTACAGATCAGGTGATATCTCAGAGACGACTCTGATGGAATTGTCTTCTGCTAGGCTAAACTCGTGGAATAAAACCCACTCAGGAATCCTTCTGGTGTTAGAATATGATGAGGAGGGGTGAAGCTGGGCCACTTGTCTGTGTGTTAACATTAAGTAGTTACCTGAACCATCGACATCACGAGCAATCTAAAAAAAAATGCAAAGAGTTCTCCATTACCTAATTGAATGTGCAAGATGCATAAAACAGTGCCTATTATATTAAATCCAGGGGTTAAACTTGTATTCAGATACTTTCAACCGGAGAGCCTAAACCTCTTCCCAAAGTTGTGTGGAAGGCTAGGGCCTGGATACTAGGAAATGAGACTTAAAGAAAATGTTGATCTGTATATTTGAAGGGAAACTGTAACAAATGAGGGCAGGCTTACACTGTAAATATCTGAACTTGGCGGTGGGATTTGAAGGGTCTGTGTGGAAACAGATGGATTCTTAAAGAAATACAAGATTTTAAAATACAGTGTGTGGCCAGGCACTGCAAATGGTGTGGTTTGGAGGGGTCATTCTTGTTTTTAGGTGCAGCATAGTGAAGGTAAGCATGTTTTCAGGTGGGGATCAATTAATCTTGTTTCTGTTTACAATTAAAGTACTTCATTTGACTGAGATGAAGCAAGTTGTGTATTATAGATACCTAAACATATTCAACAAGTCAATTCTCTGTTTCTAGGGTATTTTCACAAAAAAAATCTTCAAAAAGGAAATGTAATATTCTCTCAAACGAGTTAAATGAGTTTTTTGAGGTTAAAGTGTTCTTTGAATGAAAGGCATATTGACAGTTTTCCTCTTGCAGTGAAGTGTGTGGACTTCGTGCTGTGAGAGCTGAACCCCAGAGGGAAGATTGGAATTGGCAGAGGTATTTGGCTGATACACTGTGGAAAAAATGGCTTTAATTCAGACAGAAAAGGACCTGGAGATGTTGGTGGACAGCAGATGCCCATGAGCCAGCAATGTGCCCTTGAGCCAAGAAGGCCAACGCCATCCTGGGCTGGATGAGAAGGGGTGGGTGTAGGGCAGAGAGGTTCTCCTGCCCCTCTGCTCTGCCCTGCTCACACCACAGCTGCAATCTTGTGTCCAGTGCTGGGCCCTCAGCTCAAGAAGGACAGGAACTGCTTGAAAGAGTCCAGCAGGGCCACAGAGATGCTGGAGGGAGTGGAGCATCTCCTGCTGAGGAGCGGCTGAGGGAGCTGGGGCTCTTGAGCTTGGAGCAGAGGAGCCTGAGGGGTGCCCTCATTCCTGGGGATCCATTTGGAAAGGGCAGTGTCAGGAGGAAGGAGCCAGGCTCTGCTCTGGGATGTCCAATGGCAGGACAAGGGGCAATGGTCCCAAGCTGGAGCACAGGAGGTTCAAGCTGAAGATGAGGCCAAAGTTTGTGAGTGTGAGGGTTCTGGAGCATGGCTCCGGCTGCCCAGAGAGGTTGTGGAGTCTCCTTGTGTGGAGACACCCAAAGCCCTGGCCGTGTTCCTGTGTGACTGCTCTGGTGATCCTGCTCTGGCAGGGGTTGCACTGGGGGAGCTTTCCAGGTCCCTTCCATCTCCTCATATTCTGTGATTGTGTGATTCTGTGATCTTTTCTGGTGATCAAAAGATATCCCTACCTAACTTAAGTTCTCTGGCAGCATTCTTTATAACTTAACAATGCAGTAAGAGGAAACCACAATATTTTTCCTTACGTGCATAAAGTAACCAGATAAGAGAGATTTCTTAATGCTTAGTGTATTTTCTTTTGATCCAAAGTCCGGTTTTGAAATGGGAAGTTCAGTACGCTTCATAATCTCAACTAGTTCGGCTCTGATAATTTCTGCCATCCTCAGTGCAGAACAGCTTAGAAAATAATCGCGACACCATTTCTCATTACTGCAGTCTGTGGAGGAAAGAACAGTATTTTGGCTTAAAGCAAAGTCTTACTTATAGGCACTATCCACAGATACTGCTCTGTAAAATTCTCTTTCATTGGTGCAATAGATTAAAAGCATTTTGGAGTAAGTAGCAGTGTCAGAGCTGTCCAAAATTCTGATAACAAGAACCCCACAGACAACTTGAGCTTGTAGATCTTGCTTGGAAAGTGAGAGGGCAATACTTGATATCTTTACTCTAGTTATATGGAGGTTTTGCTATATTTTTCTGAATAAAAACCTTCAAAATCCCTTCTTTGGTCTGTAAAAAGTAACATCTTCAAATAGAATGAGTAGCAACTCTTTATTTTCAGGCTTTCTGGATTCAGGCAGGGATATGGAACTGAAATCATTGTTTCAGTGCTGGTGATGATCCTGCATGGATCAGGTTCCCTTGGACCTCTTCAGCATTCAGCACAACTGAACACGAGCAGCCCTGTTGTCCTGTCCCAAGTTTTTATGTAGTATATGCAAATTGATCACTGTCTAAGTACTGGACTGAACTTTGCTGCTTTCATTGTTTTCCCTTAAACATTCCTTTTAGTTGACTGCAATCAGAAAAACACCAGAATTGTTGGGCGGCTGGGGGAATCAAGTCCCTTCTCAACTGTGTTTATGTTGTTTCACATCTTAAACCTGGATTATGTGCTCGTCCAGGAGGAAATACCTTTGTTTTTGAACAATGTCACTTCAAATGACAATAGTAATAGTGCTGATGCATCCTTGTTGGATAAGGTTAGATAACTTCCAATTAGTTAATATACTAAACTAATGGCTACTGTCTTAGGTTTCTCTTCTCTCTGCAAATTAGCAATTCTAGAAAGAATCGTTCACAGAGGGTTTATGAATGAAATGCCAACAACATTTGGGGGTTTTTGTTTTGGTTTTTTTTTTCCAAATGGGTTACAGTGTGGTTAATTTTGTCTGGTATGGCTACACTTACATTGGCTCGTGGTGTTTGCGCTGGCTTCCTTGAAGGCGTTGAAGACGTTGATAAGACTGAAGTGATCTCCTGCAGGGTGTGAGAATTTTCGCCAGCAAGTGAGAGCGATCTCTTCTGTCCCAGGAGGTGGGGGTAAGAAGCAGTTAGGAGCTTAGAAAGAAATCAAGCCAGTGGTTATTAAGACACGTAGGTGGATACACAAATAGTAACTCCGCTGATATTTTTATTGTTTTCCTTTCTCAGTTCTCTTTAATCTTCAGTACTGGATTGCTGCTGAAGAACTGAATCTATTGCATTCACTAAGGTTTATTTATACAGATGTTCTTTAAATTTCTTGTGTAGTCAATTTGTGCTTTAAACACAAGGTGAGAAGCTTTCTCCTAGACTGATACCAAAAATGCTTCATAATGGCATGATCCAGTTTATCCAGAATCCAAGCATATGGTTTCTTTAATACAGAAGGGAACTAAATCTATGGATGTAATGCCTTAATTTGCTCATATATGTTTATATTTGTGCCTTCCAGTGCATTTTACCTCTGTTGTGGTGCTGTGCTACATAACCGTGACTTGAGATGGCTGAGCTTTTTAAAAACTAAAATAAGCCTATTCTCAGTCATTTACATTTGTTATATGTACTTAAAAATTTTATCACCAGTATAGTCCCACTGTTAAAAATCAATTGAGCTTGAGCATAAAACTGAGTTGTTTGTAAGGAGAAGAACTAATGCAGCTTGGTGTTCTGTGGGTTTGTGTCCTTGCTGCCTAAGGCTCCTCAGCAATTTTTAGACCCAGGATATTCCCTGTGGACACAGCACAGTACTGGCCATGTCTAGACATGCTCTACAGGCAAGGTTAAGCTGTGACTTGAGCAGTAGAAAGCCTTCAAGAGTTGGTTCTGTACTAGGGTTATGCCATAAAATCAGTAGCATAGTGCTATGTGGTTAGGAGGCTGCTGTGGAGAGAAGTGAGACAGTGAAATACTGCTGTATAAATGCTATGTGAGCAGCACTCTTTAACACTGAGACCTGAAAGAAAGTAAGTCTGGCCCTGTCCTGCACTGTCTGGTGAGATCCTGAGAAGTTATTGTTGTTATTTGCTGTTTGAACTCTGCCTCCTCTCAGTTTTCCTGAAATCTTTGATTTTGTGCATCTTGGATGTATTCAGATTTCAGCAGCAGCTTTCACAGAACGAGTAAGTTTTAAGTATCTGGGGGTTAATGTGTTGGTTTGAAAGCTCTGTCACATCAAATGAAAGAAGTTCTGTAGTTAGCAACCTTCTAATATAAATGTTCTTGCTCCAGACTTCATGTATCCAGTCCTCGGGGCCAGCTGGTTTGTCTCACAGTGCCATAGAGGAGCAGAGTGATCCAGGACAGACTGGTATGGATACTGAAGGTTATGTTAGTTTTATAAGATATTTGAAGTGGAGAAACAGCATCACAAAGTAATTCTCTGTAGGTCAGCAGTTCAATATTGTTTATAATTAGAACTTCCCCTAATTTGCTGTAACAAATGTACATGAATATGAGATAAGAAAGTTCCTTTGGAAGGGATGTTCTGTGTCTGCCCTCTAACAAAAAGTTGGAAGCATGGAAATGAGGTGCTACTTATAAATTCATTACATGTGTTTCATTGCATGCTTAAAGTCAAGACTTAAGCACCCAAAAACATTGATTTACTTGAAATAAGCAGGATGTGAATAACAAAAGTTTGCCTTTGGGTTGCCCTTGCAAATAGACTTTGAAAAGACCCTATGTGGATTTGGTGGGTGGCACAAGCCATGCAGTAAGACATTATTTACAGGTACCTGTTACCATGGCTGCAATGGTGAGCATCTCATCAACACACTCAAATTCACACGAAGCCAGAATTGACTTTGACAGTTGTGGGTCCAGGGGAAATTCGGACATAATAATTCCAAATTCAGAAAGGTTTCCATCATTATCCAGGGCTGCGAGATAATCGAGATCTTCCAAAGCCTGCATCAGGCTTTCAGGAGCTAATAAAAAGGAAAGATAATTCGAATTATTGAGAATGACTACATATAAATGGATGTCTGACTTCTCATTGTAATATTTCTGTTGTTTATTTCCTGTGTGAAAATGATACAAGTCAGCCTCTATCATCTGACAATGAGTAAGAAGAAAAAGTAATACATGAGATGAACAGAACATTGTGGAGGAAGAAAGTAAGGGGTAACGATTACAGGGCTGCGAATAACTCTGTTGATGTTTTTTGTGTCAGAGCAGATTTTGCCAGAAGTCCAGAGGCAGTGCTGAATAGTGTATTGCACCCAGACTGTGTCAGAGACTCCTTCCACTATTGGCAATCTTCAGGTATATTTCTGTCTGCTTGTTTGCTCTTTTTAAAGAGGGGTGGTCACATCTGAGGGTTGCTGAGAGACACACAACAGCTCTGGGAAAGAGGATTGTAACCAAAAGACAAGCGTTTACAGAAGTAGTAGCTGTCTTAAAATTCTTGCAGGTATTTTTATTTCTCTTGGTTGCTTTTCTATAAAACTTATCATTATTTTTTACACAGTTTCTCGTGATGTCAGAAGACAAATGGGAACATCGTAAAAGAAAATGTCTCCCTAGCAATTGGCTGTACTTTCTCACTGCACAAAATTAAATGTTCAATTTTCCCTCGTTGTAGGTTGTAACTTCCTCACAGCCTCCATAGGTAGAAGTGAGAACAGTGAAGGAGAAATAATGAGTGAATATAGGAAAATAATTAGGAGACTGAGAGGCTAATTTGGGAAAAAAGGAGGAAATGAGTGCATTTGGGCCACACAGTGAACAGAGAGCATGAGTACAAGGTGGTTTGAAAGAGGCAAGCATGAAAGCAATCATGAGTTAGAGTTTAGGGTTTAAGATGGGGTTTGAGCAGTGAAAGCAGAGGAGAATGAAGAGTGAAGTGATGGGGTTTGTATCTCAGGTGTTAGATAATTGCAAGCAGAGACCTGCCAGGAGTGTTTGGTTGGGATGTTTGCCTCTGCATATGTTGAACACCAAGTCTTCAGGCTAAAGTGGTCCACATGTGCTTTTTCTGAAGGCTGCTGAAGTATCAACAGTTAATTCAGTTAATTATTCAATTAATTCACTTTTGATCAATGGCTGGAGCACCTCCACACGTCATGGGTGTACCTGCCTCTCTCATGGATGAGGGTGAATGAAATCAGCAACCCACAAGATTTGAAGGTACAGAAAATGGCTTATACATGCAGACACAAATGTGCCTTTTTCATCAGTTACCATTACATCTCCTCAGTTATTTCTCGATAGACCAAAAGGTGGCATTTGCAATAGCTCTTCTGAAGCTCTCAGCTGGATGGGACTAAAACAGTAAAGTAGTTTGACAAAGACTCTCCTTTCTCATTACATATCTTGCTGAATTTCTCCTTTACCATTTTTTCCCACTATTTTTCTTTTTGCTTTTCTGCATCTGAGGCAGTGGAAGACAGCAACAGCTTATGTACATCCTAGCCCTTTTACTATTACTGACTGCTTTTTCTTTTGCTAGATGGTGCCTGAAGAATGTGAGGCGTTATTCTGACTTTTTTTTTCAGATTTTGAAAAATTAAAAAGTTTTCTCAGTGCCACTTTGTTCTGCTGAAGGAATGGTGTGATGGATTCAGACCCTCGCAGCTGCAGTGATAAGAAAAGACATCTGAAAGGATTAAACAAATAGGTATTTAAAATGAGAACTTGAGAAGATCTGCAGGAAATTTGCTGTTGGTGAAAGTTGGTCCCTTTGGCAACAATAAGCATAGAAAAGTTTTATATGGTGACTACAGTTCTGGGGCTAGAGAGGGTGAACCTGAGAGCTGAGTAGAAGTTATCAGGCCAACACTCTCCAAAAAGTAGCTGCTAGAGCATGAAAGACACTGGTGGAAGTTTGGGAACTCTTGAAGCATGAAGGCTCTTTCCTCACGGCTGCTTTCAAAGGCAGATTTCTGTTCCAGGTCTTATTTTAATGGTCAATATCTTTTATGAGTGTCAGTTCATTTAAATTCATAACTGCTCTCCTGTCGCTGCAGCAACTTTCGCCTTACTCCAGTTTAAGACACTGCTTGATATTTTCTCTCTGTTTTATGGATAACAAGCTAAATTCTTAGTCCCGTTGAAGTTGGTGGCAAAAATTCCACTGCAGCAGGACTTGGCCTCATCCCCAGCACTGGGAAACTAAAGACTGCATATTAATATCAAAAAAATCTCTAAATAAACCATCCAAAACACAGCCAAGGCTACCCGCACAGGCAGGGTGTGTATTTGTTCTTGTATCTTCATTAGTAGATGACTGGAAAGAATTTATTGCTTGGATTCATTATGAATAGGAACCTGCAAGAAAATATTGAGTTTGGGTTTTTACTTCGTTGGCAGGGAATTGTTAGTTTGTTACCATCACTCTGTAATTAACTAATTATCATGAAGTAAGTGAAACATGGGAAGCAAGCAAGCACTTTCTGTTTTTAACCCTGTTCTGTTACTAATGTGTGAAGGGAAAAAACAGTTTATTAGTAGGGCAGAGAGGTTCTCCTGCCCCTCTGCTCTGCCCTGCTCACACCACAGCTGCAATCTTGTGTCCAGTGCTGGGCCCTCAGCTCAAGAAGGACAGGAACTGCTTGAAAGAGTCCAGCAGGGCCACAGAGATGCTGGAGGGAGTGGAGCATCTCCTGCTGAGGAGCGGCTGAGGGAGCTGGGGCTCTTGAGCTTGGAGCAGAGGAGACTGAGGGGTGCCCTCATTCCTGGGGATCAATTTGGAAAGGGCAGTGTCAGGAGGAAGGAGCCAGGCTCTGCTCTGGGATGGCCAATGCCAGGACAAGGGGCAATGGTCCCAAGCTGGAGCACAGGAGGTTCAAGCTGAAGATGAGGCCAAAGTTTGTGAGTGTGAGGGTTCTGGAGCATGGCCCAGGCTGCCCAGAGAGGTTGTGGAGTCTCCTTGTGTGGAGACACCCAAAGCCCTGGCCGTGTTCCTGTGTGACTGCTCTGGTGATCCTGCTGTGGCAGGGGTTGCACTGGGGGAGCTTTCCAGGTCCCTTCCAACCCCTCATATTCTGTGATTCTGTAATTGCCCTTATACGAGCTTTTACAGAACTTCTCCAGCATGTAAATGTGTTAGTGTTGTGCCTTCACTTAATTTTAAAACACTTACTATTAGTTTTCAGAGTAATTCTCTCAGGATTTTTTAAATTTGTGTTAAAATTCTGAACCTGTTTATTTCAGCATAAGGGTCCATCTCTCTGCCTGTACAACACGAGAGGTTTCTGTCTAGAGAGAACATTTGTTATTAGTCATATGAGGTTAAATGGGATAAAAGATGAGTCTCTGCAAAAGCTGAAGTACCTGAGAAGAAAATAGTTAAGGCATTAAAAGAGATGAAAAGTAAGAGCTGATGAAGAATAGGAGTCAGTGACAGGAAATAGATATCAGTGATTGAAAATACAGGGCGAGCAAGATGGTCATTCAGACACATAGTAATTACTAGGAAATCATGGAAAGCTAATTTCCAGAAATCAACAAAGTAGTTTGTGCTAGAACTGACAAAATATATGGTTATGTGGCAGCCAATTTCAGTCCCCTGATAGCATTGGTAATTTGCATTTTTATGCCCTAGAGTTCGTTGCCTTGAGATTTATAAGCACAAATTACTTCGCTATTTTGCTCTGAGCATTACAAAAACAAGAAAAGGAAAAAGAAGACTCGTGGAGTTTTACTACATTAGAAAGGACAAGATGCTCAAGGTAGATTAAGCAGGTAAAGGAACAGTAAGAAAATAAATAGGGTTTTCGGATACAGGTCTGCATTTTGAGGCACAAACTCAATAAAAAGCCGTTGTAAGAACAACGAGTGCTCATTTGAGAGTTCTTTATGGTATGGTTCCTATTTAAATAAAAGCTACGATAAAACAAAAGCAATATAAACGTTTAGATGTGGAAAGCTCTTTTAAAGACAGAAATCTGCATTGTCTTATAGTGATTTCCAGCAAGCATCGTTATTTTTAGGGCTGCTTGCCAAGGCGACCATGGCTGCCATTGAGGTCCACGTCGAGGCTCATCCACTTCTTCCACAGGAGCAAAGTCAAAAAGAAGCTCTCAAGGTGTGCCCTGTGCTGTCAATGACAACCTGACACATCCCCAGAAGTTTAAAAGGTATTTTCTTATCTGATAATTCCTTTCTCTTCCCTATGCTCTCTGGATGCGTAAGACTGCGTTGCTCTGGATTTGTCTTGGGAAACCTGGCTGGTTTTACATAAATACAGATCCTACTCTTGATCATACTTAGGCTTAGTAATGAAAATATGTAAATAAATGTTATTAGCACTGAAATAATTTGTCTGAGGGTTTCAAATTGACTTCAGGTGGCATTCTTCATTTCACAGATTTCTGTGACTCTGACATGAACAGAGTAGGTTATGTTGCTAAAGGTGGCTGCACCTTTAATCTTTTCAGTATCATATCCTACATGGCTGAAATTGAAGCACTTAATGTGTAATGAAATAAATACTGAAGTATTGTTCGTGTTGCATAAGAAAGCAAGTGATTTAGCAGTTTGCCCAGAATTCTGTAATAAATTAATTTCCTGGTCATTAACAGTCCATTTAGCTGCCCTATGGTGCTTATCTGGAGGATCTACAGGTCTTGTGTTCTGGTCTCCTGCTTTGTGAAGATTTTGACTACATGAAATACCTGCTTTTTGATAGGTCTTTTTTTTCCATAGGAATAACGGTTATAAAGTTAGAGCTGACATGAATGTCAGGTGAAGGGATGTTGTCTTTAAAGAGCTGATTCCCTGCCTGGCAAACCACGAACTTAACAGCCTGAAGAACTGCCAAAGTAATTACTGCAGGGAGAATAATTTGGGGGAGTGGTGTTTCCTCTTATTGTTTTTTAACATTGCTCCTTGGATAGCAAACTGAAGATACGGAGAAATCCAATGCCAAGTTTTCTTTAAATTATGCAAAGGTTTTTCTTCTGCAAGGACGAGCTTCTGTGTGCAG